CTATATATATATATATATATATATATATATATATATATATATATATATATATATATAAAGTTAGCCCTAATTGAAAAGTATTCTTGATACATCCAATATTCCAACCATACACATCTTCAAAATCTAGCCTTCTCTCAAAAGCCACTTTCGCTTATTCTCTAGAATATTCTTTAACTACTTCAACTTTAGACCATTACATGACATGACAAGGGTGATTAAAAACCCGATTAATCAACCCAACACAAAATAACTTAACCCGATGTCTAATCGAGTCGTAAAATTTTCAAACCATAGGTATTAGGTTGATATTGAGTTACCATTATTTGAACTCAACCCAACCCGATATCCTTTAATTTATTAGATTTAATATGGTTGTTGAATATCTATTAGTATATACATTAGACAATTACTCTATCAGGTATGTTCTTCATATACACATATTTTTAGTCTATTCATATCTCTATATAACTCATTCTCATATATGTTCAGTAATTGTGAATGTATATATGTAAATTGAGAAAAATAACTTAATGTGATATATGTAAGAAGTATGGATAAGTTGTATCAAATGGTTGATGATGAAAAAGAAAATTATGAGTAGGAAAATAACATATTCAAAATTAGAAAAATATTTTAATGTACTAAAGTATTAACTCGACCAACCCGTATGATTTGGGTTGGATTAGGATTTTTCAAACCGCAAGCATTGGGTTAGGTTGTTCAAATGTCTTCTACTCGATTAACCTAACCCATAAACATCCCTACGTAACATTAGCACCTAATGTTATAAAATAGATTATTTAAATCAAAAGTGTATATGTAAAATAAAACCTACAAATCAATAAAAATACAACCAATCTCATCTTCATGATTTATTTAAGGGTACCATCTCTAAATTAAAATGATATACATGTAGGGTGATAAATTTAAGAGGATGATGGATGGATGTGTGTATGTATATGCACTATCCATCTTTCTCAAAAAAAACGCCCAATAAACGCTTGTAATAAGTGTTTAAATAGCAATGATATCCGCAAATATATGGCCGCAGTGCCCACAACACGTCGCACGCGGATGGAAGTGTTTTGCAGTAACTATTCAAGAAAGCAAGAAAAAAAGAGAAAAGATTGTACCCAATGCAAATCCAGTAGTACCCTTTCTAAATTTGGATATCTATAATATATATATATATATATATATATATATATATATACACACACAGTTGATTCATATAAAAGAAAAGAATGCAAGGCAGCAGCAGTTCATAAACTGAAACTGCTTAAACTTAAACACATAGAATTTTACCAAAAATGGGAAAGAAAGACGATGATGGAAGGATGGAGGCTGCAAGGAGAAGGGTTGAGAATTATTGCTATTTATGGTAGGGTTCAGGGGCAGCCGGGCAGGGTGGTGCTGCAACTTGCACGTTAGGTGATGTCCTGACCGTTCTATATTCATATTTTATAGAGTGAATTACAGTTTTGGTCCATGTGGTTTGTACAAAACTATAAAACTAGTCCCTCAGATGCAAAAAGGGTGAGAAGAGTAACGGGTGTATTGCATTTTGCTTTGAAATTAGTCTCTAACACTAACACTAACACTATTAGTTGATGGGCATTTCAATCGTTTTTCTATTTTTTTTTTATTAAAAGAAATTAATATACAAGTATATGAAGCGTATATATAAGTGTCATTAGTATTTTTTTTTTAAACAAAAACAAACCCCTCTTTTCTCTCTCTCCTCCCATTTCCGATGGCTTCCCAACAAATAACTGTAGCCATACCTTCTCCCTTCCATCTTCTCCGGCCATCTCATTCTCTTTGCTTGTTGTTAAAAATTTACAGATCTCATAAACAAGAAATGTGATTTAGGTTTCTATTTGAATTTAGGCTTTTGTTTGATATGGAATTTGGAAATTCGTTGCAGGTTTTCCTGATGTGCCGAAGGAGAGAGAAGGGAGGGAGTGGGTGCGCATACTTCTTTTTAATGCTAATCGTGCTTGTACACGAGCTGTATAAACTTGTACAATAACCTTCCTAATAAAATATGATAAAATGGCACATATGTGTTTCAACAAACGACACTACTAATAACAAAGTTAAGGTGATGGACTATTTTCAAAGAAAGGCATCCGCATGGTGCAATGACTATTCTTGCACTTTTACGAAACCCGACCTTTTTAACCTTCTTACTATAACTTTCATTCTTACTGAAAAATAAACCCTCCATTTGAATTACATAACAATGCCAAAAAAAGAATCATATGCATGGCTTCATCTCTTAGCCATTTTTCTTCCAAAATAACAAAAATAGTCATAGGTCCGCAATTGACAGGTCCATAATTTACGGAAGGGTCAAAGTGTAAGAAAAAAGAAGTTTTTGAACCATATTTGGTTCCTGCAATTCCGAACTTCCGAACCTGGTTCAGAAACTTCATTTTTCTTATACTTTAACACCTCTGCAAATTGCAGACCTGTTGCTATTTTCGTTATTTTGAAAAAGAAATGACTAAAAGAATGTACCCACTTGTGAAAAATGGTTATTTTAACTAATTTCCCTAAAAAAATATACCTCCATAAGTAATAGTAATTTGAAGTATTTGTTAATGTTACAACTTTATAGTATAGAAAGATTTTGTTAATGCATCTACCTAGATAAATCTTTTTTTAAGTATATAATATTTATTTACGACAATAAACGCAACAGAGTGTCAACTCTTTGTTCATTAATGTTTCATTTATTTTTCATTGTAGTATATAAATAATTATAATAAATGCTTGTACATTTCGTCATGTATATCATTTAAAAAAGTAGTTTTCTTTTAAGAAACTATATAAAGAATCTTGGAACACTAGCAGAGGCAGGTTGGGTGAAAGGTTATGTTGATTCCAGAACTTGGCAAGTTCTTCATAAATTTTACAACACGAAATGTTAGTCACTACCTCCGGATACGAGTTTCAAATCCAAAACGATGCCTAAATTACAGACAAACAGACCGACCGACCGACCTAATAAAAACACATCATAATAATTTTAATTTTACATCCAACCCAACCAAAAAACAAAATGTTGCGTTTACTTCTCCCCTTTCACTTTCTCTAGGTACCGCAATTCATCCATCAGATAAGTATATTCCCGTTCCACGTCTCCCAGTTCCATTTTAAGACGCAACACCTGCCAATCCACATAAATAACATCAACATTCTCTTCATTCAGCACAATAAAGAAAACGGTCTCGCCATACCTTGTGATTAAGCTCTTCTTGCGACTTCTCATACTCCAAGCATCTGAAACAAAGAAATTCAAAATCAGCCGAATTTGCATGCTTCTTTTGAAATTATCAAACCATCTATCTTCACTAGGATAAAAAACGAAATGAATACTCACTGTGCTTTCAGCTTTTTGTTTTCTTCTATCACGTTCACCGCCTCTCCATTGTTTACGAAACCAGTAGTAGTCTACAAGTAAACAATCATATCATATCCAAAACCACACACCTAAACAAATTATTAACTTATAAATGTTGTATTACCGTTTTAGACCCGATACCACTCTCCATCTGGGCATCCAATTGGTGAAGCCTTTCACCCTGGTCTCGCGACTTCCTTTTCAAAAAGGTTGCCCCTTCAAAAACAACCCACTAGTGAGTCATACACACATCAATTAACAAAATTTAAAATTTTCTTTTTAACTTCTTACCTTCTTCAAAACCTCTAGGGATGTTTGGTATTAATTCTACCGGTTTCACAAACGAGGAGCTGGAATAAAGAGCGGCTTTGCTGTTTACAGTAGCAACAAAGGATGCTTTTTTGGTTGCTCCACCATCAGAAGTGCCTTTCCTAAAATTAGATTGATCTACAACATGCTGATGAACAAAATTGGATGAACCAGGGTCATCTGATGGGGGCCGAGCTTTTTTCTTGATTTGATACCCAATCAGTCCACAATGATAATCCCTGAAGTTTTCAAATACTTTGGCATTAAAACACTTTTTAGAAGGATAATGTGTATATATACTTTGGCTTATGTAAAGGTTGTTTACCAGTACTCCCACGTCATTTCTTTCAAGCGGGTAATAAGTTTTTGGAAAACAGAAGTTTTTTCAAAATCTTGCTTATTGTGAGTAGGTTCGATAAAATTTGCTTCAAGAACACCTACAAGGAATCATTACGTTCATTAGACCCAAACTCATTTTTCCTCAGGGAAGCAAAGGCATACAGATTCTTACCAGCAACACCTCTGCCTCGGCTGTCAGAAAAGACAACAACAGGCCAAAATGGCTGGAAAAAAAGAGAGCACATTAATTTCACAGAAATGCTTAACCAACGGACTTTTCTATCATCACTGTAAGATCTGAAACTTGATGTCCAAAGGGATGCTTTTTAAATTCAAGAAAGTAAATAAATTCCTCAAATTAGGTGAAAAGAAAGAGAGACAATCACCAGTATCAAACGGTTCTTGTGGTAGATGTTAAACCCATGAATATTCACATTTGGGGCCTCCTTAAGAAACCCTATTGTTGTAACCACTGCTCCCTGAATCAATAAGCAAATCCAGCCACGATGAATATTGGTACAAATTTCAAAGACTAATTTTCTCAAACATTATACTAAATAACAAATATCTGAGTATATGTTAACTTAATACAACCTCCGCACAGCCGGCACTATGTGGTTTATACAAGATAAATTCTGTGTGCTTCAGGTCTGTAGCAATATTATGATAGAGAACGACTTTCCCTCGCAATACCATTGCGAAAGTGTCTGGTAATTTTAAGTACAAGACGGATAAGTACGCCTGAAACAGGATGAGACAGAATATTTAGTAAAAATATTATGAAAATTAGAATTATAATAATGCAAATACGAAAAAAGTTGTAAACCTACACGGAGAGAATAACGGAGGCGTTTAGCAACGTGCTGCTCACTTGCTGCCATACGAGAACCTTCTTTCACTTTACCCTTTCCATCCCAAGAAATACAAATATCCTAAAGCAAATTGTGCCATGAGAGACCACATCCTAAAACCACCACCTACCTATATATATGTAATCACGTATGTATGTATGTAGGTATATAAAAAAACCAAAGAACCATGAAAAGACGGATGGAAAAATATATCAATATAGATGTCAAGTTGAACTATTAAAGATAATAAAATGATTGTATTTAGTGTAATTTGTTTCACTCCAATTTTTGTTATATTTTGCTGATTTAAATAATTGGAGGGAGTATTCATTTTCAAAGGATGGTTATAACACAACCACATCCATTGGATCATCTCAATCTAACGGTTTGGACGGGTTCTTCATTCTTCCTTTTTTTGAGGGTTCTCTCAAAATCTTTTCCATATATATGTATATATATGTATGCATTAATTTGTGCATGCATAAAGATACACGAAACATGAGGTTGATTATTTTAAAATAGTTTGCCATAAGCAAATAAAAAGAACAATCTGTGACATATTCTGATGGATGCAATGATGCAGATGAATTAGATATTAATAATTAAGTCACAATGTCGGTATTTATGTTACCTAATCATGTAAACCCATTTTTATTAAGAAGATTGAAATAGAAAATCTGAGCCCCCCCTTTTGCACTTTCTGAATTAATTAAATGAAAGGCCCAAGAATATCAAATTGGATAACAAACAACTGGTTTTTTCATCCGTATGGTCAGGTTCACTGGGAGGTGTTCCGAATTCCCAAACTTGTTTATAGCCTATACATACATAATGCAGAAAATGGAAAAGGAAGGATCAAAACCTCAGGATCTGACTCAAAATCAAGCTCCATATTACCATCCTCATCAAGCCATAAATTGTATATGACGACTTTTGTGCCATGAGAACCAACATCTTCAAACTACACATATCAAGAACTTTGTTATGTTTCGAAAAAATAATAATTTCAAGACAAACAATAACTGTCAAGTTCATTTAAGACAATTAAAATGTAACCGAGGTATCATGCATCCTCAATAAGATAACAAACACTCTCCTGTTCTAGAAAATAACTTCAATTTTTGTTGTCAAACAAAAAACTTCCTAAATGTTAAATTTGATATCACTTCATAAATAATTTAGTCCCAGCATTAATTGACTAATATTGCAAGTTATGAATTGTAGATTTCTACTTAAAAAGTTATATGATAGATATCACTTTTAAAAAACCGAGGCATCTGATGTCATAAATCAAAGTGCAACTCTTTTACTAAAAAAAGAGAGCATAACTCTTATGTTCTCATACCGATATTATATAAGACGAAGTCGTTACAGCATCTGATTATACAATGAACTCGAGAAACTTTGTGATGGTAGGTTGAACAAGTAAAACTAAGCCCCTCACATGTATATATTCTGGCAGACCAACATAGCGACAGATGGCTATTGGTAGCAACACCAAAGAGCAAGTTTTTTACATAATGATTGGGTTGAAAATGCCAACAGATAAGATGTTTCAAGCAAAGGCACTCGATCCAAGAAGGGGTGAAAACAAGACTTACTTGCTTCAGTAGTTCTTCCTCTGTTGAATATGGAGACCATTTCAATAGAATAGATAGGTTTACATTTGGCTTATCTTTGCTTTCTGATTGTAAGGGATCAAAAGAACCAGTCATAAAGTTAAACTCGTAGTGAACCTGCAGTTTACAAGGACTTCAGATTATATCATATGTTATTATAATTACAAACATGTTTCAAGATCCAAAAAGTGGGTTCATCAGAACTTGACGACAATGAAGCAAAGAAATGGTTAGAGGCCATTTACCAAACACTAATTGGGTAAACGCTCACCAGGTCACTTAATTTATCGGGTGAGCATGGCAAAGACCGTGAACCTTACCCGGTCAGTAAAGGTGGTGACTCGTACCCAGTTAGCGCTTACCAGCAATCTTACTATGCCATTTTGATGGCCGAGAATCTTACCCGGTAAGGTAAGTGATAAGGATCGGGATAAATTAGTTCAAGGGGATAAAATGTTAAAAGTTTATAAAAGGAGGGCTAAAAAGGGACAATCGAAAAAGGGCTAAGTCGGTTAGAGGAGAGTAGCTTTATTGTTGGAAGGGAGGCAGTGTAGGGGACAGTTTTTGGTTTTGCTACGTTCACCGTTTTGGCTCTCNACAATCGAAAAGTGGCTAAGTCGGTTAGAGGAGAGTAGCTTTATTGTTGGAAGGGAGGCAGTGTAGGGGACAGTTTTTGGTTTTGCTACGTTCACAGTTGTGGCTCTCGTTTCCAGCTGAGAGAAGGGAAGATTCCCTGGATTGTCAATTGTTCTTCTCTTTTCTTTCCAATTTCAATCTAATAACCTCCTTCCATAGTATATTTTCTGTGTTAATTCCAAATTGCTATTTCTATTCTCTATCAGTAAGTGATGGTGGTGACTCTTACCCAGTTAGCGTTGGTAAACAACCCTTAAGTCTTTACATTGCACCACCAAGAATTCTTTTTGCAGTAAATCGAGGTGATGAAATCAACCAGTTGATTTGGTGATAAGTGGTAACTAATAAGCTCATAAAAAGGAATATTAGGACAACTGAAATCTCACCATTGGGACCACTATCCTGTCATAGCCTGCTCGAGTTAAAAATGTATATGATAAAAGACCAATGCTTTGGGTCAATGTCCTGTCCATAAAAACAACAAAGTAGGAATGAAAAGCAGAAAACAGGGTAAAGAATCCAATTAACACTAATTCATGGAAAGTACTTCCAATCAAAACACTCTATGTAAATGTCATGTTAATTCCAAGCGAACCATCCGAACATTCTTTAAAAGTACTTGGGATTAATATGTTGTCAAAAAAGAAATAAAGAACATTACAGAAGAGAAAGCAAATGTCTGTGACTAAGAAAAAAGTGTCAAATATTGTTCGTCCAGACAGCAGACAGAAGTCTCAACAGTTAACAAACCACACACAATGCACCATAAGATAATTTTAGTTGAACATGAAAAGCAAAATATTTGAATATCTATTGATACTGGTGAAGAACACAAAAATTCAAACCTGTCAGTTAAGTAGCGGCTGAAAACTATCACATCTGCTCCAAGTCTCATAGTACTCGTCTTAAAGCCATTTCCATCTGAACGTCTACAAGTCAACCAATCAAAATGAAGGGACAAAGCAAGCAAACAGACAAGCATGAAAATAACAAAAAAAAGTTGCATATCAAGAACAACATACACTTCCCAATCGCAAATGCTGACTTCTTATCTGAAAACCCGAAACTCAAACATCGGCGCATTGCTTCTGGATCCATCCCACCCCCATCATCTAATTTGAGTAAGTAAAACTAGTGTCACAGCCTCAAGAAAATGTGCCAAATAGAAAAAACCAAGCACAACAAGAACAATTATGTAGAAGAAATCTTACCTTGAATTAGCAAAGCTGTACTTCCATTTCTTGGGTTTATTGCTTTGTCTATAATTACATAGGTGGCCTCCTTTTGTATCTACAATAGATGAATAATGCAACGACATGAAGCATGCCAGACGGCAAGAGCACAGATGAAAAAATCATCACAGTATAATTCACAAAAGTGAAAAAATGCTTGCTCATGGCAACTGTAGCTATTCGAAAGGACAAGTCACACACTAACAGACCAATTTTATTAAAAAAATTCACTGAACTTCTATACCCATTAACCTTGGTGATTTAGCCAGTTTAATCAGAGGCGGACCCAGAAATTTTTTCAAGTGGTGGCACAATTTGACTATAAAAAAATATCTATTTTTTTAACAAAATTAGTATTGATCTGTTGGTTGGTTCCTTGTCCTTACATAGAAGAGCCTATGGTCTAATCCGGTCTACATATATTTTTAAAAACACAAGAGGTAGATAAAAAACACCAAATTTTAAGCCAATAAAAAACAATTTTGACAACTATGGGACTCAAACCTGGGCCTTTTGTACAAAGGCAGGATCTTTTATCATCTTAACCAGTCTCGTGCTAACATTTTAATTTCAAAAACTATATGGTGCCACCCAACATAACCATACAGTGGCACCCTTCAGAAACATAATTTTTTCCCTTACGATGAACCATGAAGTGGTGGCCCATACCACCTTATCATTTCATGTGGGTCCGACCCCTGAGTTTAATAGTTTATAGAGGATATAAACAAAAAAGCAGAAGGGATGTTGTAAGAAATCACAACATTAGGGCAAAAACTAATATAATTGTGATCCTATTTTGGTTTTATATAGTGTTACACATCCAAAGATGAAGGGCCAATGAGGATGTTACACCACTCACCGTTCATGATCACAACACATTTTGGACATGCTTTCCAAAGATAACTTAGATAAATGGCAAAAGAAATCCATTGTGGACAGAATTTGAAGCAACATATAAAAAAGGAAAAGTCATTAACCCTACGTAAGAACCAGGAAAATTCCTGGTCAAATTTATCAAGTAAAAAGACAATCAAGTCACACTGTAGCTATCACAAAATAACAAACACAAGAGTGTCAAGGAATTAAAAGCAAATGAGCAATTGTACTGTCCTTAGTTGAAAAGGAAACATCAACTAGAAGTCCATTACCTCATCCACCGCATTGTCAATAAGCTCTGCTATGGCTGCAGATGCACATTAATAAGCTGTTTGTCAAACATGTGAAATGCTGCAACTTTGTATTGCAATACCAATACACTATATGAACAAAGATAGAATAAAGCTTAACATACCACCAAAGGCCCATTTGTGAGAAGTAGCATTCGAGTGAAGGAACTTTGGGTGTATGTGTAGATAACTAGAACCAGCTGTCATATCGATAACATATCATTAGAATAAAATAGAGAGATATGCATTATAATAGGTTTACACATGTGTCTTCATGCATGATCATTGCAAACATAGAGCAACATAAACGACACAAGTTAAGAGCTAAATAACATTTTCCCATTGGGGGCACCATAACCAATAGGATCTTCAATAAGCCCTTGAATTTCTGGTGCATCCAACAAATTCAATCAAAAAATCTCTTCAGACAAGGAGACAAAGAAAGATATAATATGGTAGTTGGAGAGCTGACTACATTTAGTTGTGGACTTAGGAGTGAGATCATCATTGTAGGCTCCAGCCTTCCAAAATTGTCTACAAAGAGGTGCAGCACATATAGGTGATGTTGAACAAAGGCTCGCATCATCAACTGGTGACCGTGCTTGATCCAATACACTAATGCCACTAGAGCTCCGATTTTCTTCAGCCTCTTGTCTTACACCATGAATCTTGGACTTTTTATGCAGGGCCACATCAGTATAGTCTTGTTTTTGGTGACTTGATATGCCACCTAGATTTCGTTCCGACTTAACAGCTCCCATATCCAATTCTACATCACCGTTATCCCTAAAAAACTCAGCAATGTCCATCCAGATTATTTCATTCACTGCAAAGGCATCAGGGTGGGTTAGTATCTTGCCAAAATGGCTATTACTTTACAGAAAATAATGAACAAAAAGTTTAAGTTAAAAACTAGGGGATATCAATGGCAACCTCCAAACCTATCACCAGGATTTCTTCTTATAGAACATGGATGATAGTTGATGCAATCATTCCTCCTTGAAAAGAAGAAAGAGTGATAAGTTCAATGGTAAGTTTGGTGGTTGCCATAGATTTACTCTTATCAACTGTAACATGTATTTAGATGTGAACAATATGAATCACTGAAGGATTGATAGCCAAAAGAAATACAAAGAGATTGACTTGATCATTAACTTTAAAATTGACACTAAGACAGAATCTCAGTTTCTCAACCCTGCCAAATTGCAAAGGATTTTATATGCTCCAAAAATGCTCAACGATCAAATAAGAAGAAAAATATGCAAAAAGTGTGAGCAATCTTAGTTACCAAGTTACACGATGAACTGTTTATGAAGAGCCATAAATAATATAACAGAATATCACAAACAAAGCCTTTACAAAGGCTACAATATCTTTGGTACTAGGATAAAACAAAAATTCTTCTTGCAGGCTCTCCAAAAGCTCTAGAAGAAATGAACCTCCTAAGCATAGACTATGAAAAGACTAAGAATTAAGTAACATAATAAGAAAAACATTGACAAGATTATGTCAATCATGTTAATATGGAAAGATTCTTATTGCAGCTGTGTATAACATTATAGCCACCAAAATTTCATGGTAGACTTGAACTAAAGACTACTAAATCCTAGAAAATATGTCCTAGACTCCCAGCGACCTAGATGTAAGATAAAGAAGGAAACTCACAACACTTAAGAGACACAACCTCACATACTCCCTACATTGGCTTCACTTGGGACTTCCGGACTTCTAGCACTCAACTAGAGCTCATGAATTTAATGAAGCAACATAGGATTCCACTCAACAATAGAGCATCAATGCTGCCCCAAACATCATACTGAAAATGAGGTTGAGTGTCCAGCAGCACATGCTTCACATGGTGACATTTTGGGTTGGGCGAATTTCTTGATACCTGAACTTATCCTAGAGCATAAAATCCTAAATACCAAGGTATTGTGATCAGTAATCCATCTAAAATCAAGCATTTCTATTATAAAAAGCACATTGGATAAAAAAGAAAATTCTACTTGGTGAACTGAAATGCCATGAATTGAAAAGAAACACCCACAAACTAAAAGGTAGCAGCAGTCCGACCAACAAACCAAAACATGGTACAAATCATCCATCACATTGGCACCCACACAACGATAAGCTGGTTCATTCAAATCAACCCTTCAAATACATCAAACATAAAACATTCTTAAACAACTCCAACAAAAGAGACAAAATGTATAACGTAGTATCCTGTTCCAGAGAAAAGTGGTTGCTGTCAGACCTAGTACTTCCCAACTCAACAATCCTGTCAATTTATCTAAGCATCTTTCATCGTATAGTACTCATTGTAAAATTGGATTCCCTCAGCAATTGTACTACAATTTCTAAAACTTACACCACTCTTGAAGTTGGAAGTGAATCTATCGTAATCCAAAATCAAAACAAGTAGTGCATTTCTAGAAAAGATGAAATAGACTGCGATTTACACAAATATCACTCTTGCTTTTCATATTAAACCCGATTTAGCATAAACAAAAACCCACATATACAAAGAGAAAGGAAAATTAATAAATGGATGCTACTGTACATGCAAATACAAGGCAGCAGACCTACCGGTATATTTCTATCTTTATCGATGGGAGCCCAGTCGATGAAGTGACGTGCAAAAGAAAAAATTCGGAAGCAAAAAAGTAGGGTTTGTGACTTTTACAAGAAATTTATATCTCTGGATGCAATGAGAAGCTAAGGATCTGAAAGAGAATATAAGCGTGCTGGATTGTCGGTTGCAACTAAAATCCCCACCGGCGATTGAACGTCGGCGGACTACTACGGCGGCAATAGAGAGGGGGAGAAGGGTTTAACTCGGTGAAAGGCGAAGGCGAACGGAGTGTCAGGTGAAATCGGCAAATATATAGAGAATTCCTTTGAAAGGCAAGACCTCTGGCTAAATTGAAACAAATGAATATAAATAGAAATAAACCAATAAATAAATACCAATATAATTTATTTATTTTAAATGCCAATATATTCTACTAAAACTTTATTAAGGATATAAAGCAATGTAAAAATTAAAATCTAGTATTTATAGAATAAGAAAAAGTTAAATTGTTCAATTATTAATTTTTTAATGAATAAATTATTAAATTTCTTAGGGGTCGTTTACTAAACGCTTACTTGGTAAGTGTTTACTGGATAAAAAATTTTATCGAATGAACATTACAAAGGCTAAGAATCTTACCGAATAAAAGTGATGAGAATGATGGAGAGTTTTATCTGGTAAGTGAATATGACGACTCTTACCCAGGTAAGCGCTTACCCGATAAATTGTTGCATTCAATACGTTTTTTATGTACTAAAATCTTACGCGTCAAAATAAATTATAGTGTTGACTTCCATCGGTAAGCACTTACCGGATAAACATTTTGGTAAACAACCCCTTATTTTAAAAAATCTAGCTCTAACTTTTTTAAAATAAATAAATTATTAAACTTTTAAAAATTGATTATATACAATAATTTTATCTAAAAAAGCTACATGTAATAGGTTAATAATGTTTTAAAGTGATAAAAGAATTTATATCAGTTTTATTGTTTTCAAATTCTTTGTCATTCAAACCTTTCGCATACTTCATCACTTCCCCTTGCCATTTTATTGGTTTTTTTGTTTTTTGATATTCTTTCTTTTTTGACATGTCTATACATACTCCATTAGCTTGTTGTAAAAGATGATACCAAAGAGTCTTTAGTCTAGTGGTATCGTAGTTTTTTGTCTTCTAAAAAGTGAGGGGTTCAAATCTCACCAAATGATGAGTGTGTGTAAGTTTATTTGTTACATTTATCATATATAAATATTATATACTTTAAAAAAACTTGTTATAAAAGATTCATGGAAAGAAAAAAAAACATACATATATATATATATACATATATATATATACATATATATATATATATATGATAGTGTGTATGTATATGACTTTCTTATAATGATGAAATATTTAACAAAATAATTATAATGAACTATTTAGAAGAATACTTATCAATTAAAAAATTTGTCACTTTAAATCTTGAAAATAATTAAATTAAATAAATTATTTCAAGGATCAAGTAATAATATTTATTAAATATAGAAAATATTTTAATCAAATAGTGTAATAATAAATAAATTTGTTTATTTATCATTAGAGTATTTTATTTTTTTGTGGTTTTAGTGTACGGTTAGAGTTAATTAGTGGTCCCCGGACCGCCAAATAAATGTCTTACAAAATTAAATAAGTATATTAGCATGGTAGTTATTAAAATGATGTCGGGATAATTGTATCTGTAATAAATTATTTATAAGAAACTGATTATTGAGATGATTGTAAAGTTTAATAATTGTCTATAACTTCAATAAATTGATTATTCTAATTATGCAACACCCTGATTTAGTTTCATGTTAACGACAATAATTACGTTCAAGCAAAATCCTTAGATAAATGTTAAACATAGTCATCAGATATGTATTTAATACAATTATGCATATATTAGATACAACATTTAAGAAGTTAATATTAAATATTAATTAATGCTAGTAGAAAGAGTACAATTCGAATGTCCAAAAAGTATCTTCACTGGGTACAAAAAAGATGTGTTTTGTCGATATCACTGGATGTGACAATATGTAATATATCCAAAAATACATTGGATTATGTAATGAAAATGTATAGTGTTAAAGGTTGAAGAACGTGAAAAGTTGAAGTCTTTTGAAATTCGCATATTAACTGTACGGCAAATGAAAAGTCGTTGGTTGGTTCGTAGTGGAAGGGGTGTTTGTTTTGATTTAATCGAGTTTGGCTATGTTTGTCAAACTAGCTGGTAGCTTATCAACAAATTATGTTTAGAAAAAACTAGTTGTTAAGCATGTAAGATGACCAAAAATAGCATCTTGAAAAATTAATCAATTACAATATTTTATAATTTAATTAAAATGAATATTTAGTAATATAATATATTAATACAAACAAAAAAGTAAAGAAAAAAATTCAAATGATAAATATGTTAATTAAAAGAATTTTAAATTGATTATTATATACATTGTAAATTTTGGATTTCTTAAAAAAATTAGAAAAAAAATCTACATTAATTTATGATTTCAAAAATAACCATCACATCATTCACATGTAATATGAATAAAAAGAAAATTGGTCCACCTCACATATCCTGATTAATTAGTAATTTTTCAAAAATAATAAAAAGTAATTAAATTAATTATTTTATTAAGATCATTTAACACAGTTTTATTATCTATGAAATAAAATAAGTATAACTTTAACTTTTAT